TATCCAGCTTGGGCAGAGTGTGATACGGTATAATTGTGTTTGAATTACATTACCTAAGTAATAGTAATTTATAAGATAATGTTATTTTATGATTACTTAATTTCAACATTTTGTGTAGCTTTACATCCAAATCAATATACCATTTGCTCACTGGTTTTTTGGGTGCTTTGGATTTGAAGACATTTAAAATGACTATATACGATAGTCACTGGAAGAACAAATATTTTTTAGAAGAAGAGTAATGGTTTATTGGTATGCGATACCACATCCATAGACTGCTAGTGAGTATCCACTACCGGGGTACCGAACCAACCGATGCAATCCCACTACAGAGTTTCAACATGACCCTCGAAAGGGCCCCGGATATACCACAACCGATTGACAGTGGAGGGATTGTGGGAGTGTTTTTGTGTTGGTTCCTGGAGATGTTGATCTTCAGGAAGTCGTATTATATAGAGGGGAAAAATGGTTAATGGGCTATGTCATATCGTAAACGATTAGCGGAATTTTTTTTGGGTACAAGTACAAATGTCATTTGAACATTGTAATATTACTTAAAACAAATCCCTTAAGTTTATGTATTTATTAGTTTTTTTGTTGATTTTAAGATTATCGTTCAATTTTAGATTTTATAAAAACAAAACTTATACAAAAAGAACAAAACACATTTTACATATAACAAAAAAAAAACTCTATCCCGGAGCAAGTGTCCGAAATCCTACTTCGGTTTTCCAGAGACCTCTCTAAAATGATATATTCCCGATAAAATAGTTATTTTACAAAAAGAAAAAAAAAATGATCATTATTTTTTTCAAATTATTCATTTATATGGGTTAGAATACTCACTTTCCCTATTTTATTTGATTTAAAAATATTTTCAATATAAAAACAGACTTTATTCTCTAATTATTTATAATAAATTTTCAAAAAGTTTAACCTAATCTTTTATTCCTAATATTATAAAATTTATAAATTTTATCCATCCAAATCAAACATATTTTGTATAATTAAAAGTATTTTCAATATAATCACTTGGTTTGTGGTAACTTGGTAAAACTTAGAAAATATATGATATATAACCTATTGACCAATGTTTAAATTCTGACACTACTCAGCCTCTGTGACCATAAATGTTCGTCTGCAGTGACTCCACAACATAAAGCATAATCTCATATTTGCAGCAGATGATTAGTGCGCGAAAGCCGGACAAAAAACCCTCGTTAGGAAGTTACTTTCCAAAATAAAAAAAATAAAGAAATTAATAAATAAAAGTATTTTCAATATCAAGAAGATACTTTATTCTCTAATTATTTATAACAACTTTTCAAAAAGATTAACCTAATCTTGTATTCCTAAAATTATAAAATTTATAAATTATATCCATCAAAAACCAAATATATACCATCGACTCAAGATCTAAGTTAAAAGTTTCTTGGACGCACGCACAAAGAAAAGAAATTATCCAAACCCAAAAGAAGACGGCAGCCTTAGAAATCACCGCCACTGATTAAATATCGGAATCCAACGACTCTAATTTCAGACCCTTCATCAACTTTTTCTTGACACGTGTCATATTTTCGTTCGTTTATTATCTAACAACCCCGTAGCGTTAGCCTTCCTTTTTGTGAAGAAACTTTTCTCATCCTATAAATCCACCCCCAAATCCATTATCTTCCTTCATCCTGCAATCATCTTATCTTCAAAGCTCTGACTTCTTCAATTATCCCAAGGTACTTATTCTTCTTTTATCTTTTTATGCTTTTATGTTTCTTTAGTTGTTGAACAGTTTATTTTCAATCGATTAAAGGTTATTAGTGTTTTTGATCTGTTTGTTTCAATCACCATGAGTTTTTGATCGGTATGTGGCTTTTGATTTTAGATATAACCCGATCTTGTAATTAACACGATCGATAGTGTCTTAATATGTTTTAATTATGGTTTCTAGATCTAATCATCGAATTTATTAACGATCTGTTATAGTTTTGTGTTTTCGATCTTTTTTCAACACATCAATTCCAAAATCGATGTTCTTGTCAAAGAGCTTCGAACGATGATTTTTTGTAAATAAATTCATGATCTAAGTCGTTTTTTAGTTCAATTTCAGAGGATAAAGTTGTTAATTTGTTTTTGAATTGTAATCTGAAATCTGTTGTACGATATGAATTTGTTTGTTGATGAATTGATGATCAAACTGTTTTCGTTTTCTAATAATTGTTTCTTTCTCCTTTTAAAAGATGCAAATCTTCGTTAAGACCCTTACTGGTAAGACCATCACTCTCGAGGTTGAGAGCTCCGACACCATAGACAACGTCAAGGCAAAAATCCAAGACAAGGAAGGAATTCCCCCAGACCAGCAAAGACTTATCTTCGCCGGAAAGCAACTCGAAGACGGCCGGACTTTGGCCGATTACAACATCCAGAAGGAGTCCACCCTCCATCTCGTCCTCCGTCTTCGTGGAGGTATGCAAATATTCGTCAAAACTCTCACCGGAAAGACCATCACTCTCGAGGTCGAAAGCTCCGACACCATCGATAACGTGAAAGCCAAGATCCAAGACAAGGAAGGTATCCCGCCAGACCAGCAAAGACTCATCTTCGCCGGCAAACAGCTCGAAGACGGCCGTACCCTCGCCGACTACAACATCCAAAAGGAGTCAACCCTCCATCTTGTCCTCCGTCTCCGTGGAGGCATGCAGATCTTTGTGAAAACCTTGACCGGAAAAACCATCACCTTGGAGGTGGAGAGCTCCGACACCATCGACAACGTGAAGGCCAAGATCCAGGACAAGGAAGGAATCCCCCCAGACCAACAGAGATTGATCTTCGCCGGAAAACAGCTAGAAGACGGTCGTACCCTCGCCGACTACAACATCCAGAAGGAGTCAACCCTCCATTTGGTCCTCCGTCTCCGTGGTGGTATGCAGATTTTCGTGAAGACATTGACAGGGAAGACGATTACTTTGGAGGTGGAAAGCTCCGACACCATTGACAACGTGAAGGCGAAGATCCAGGACAAGGAGGGGATCCCACCAGACCAGCAGAGGTTGATCTTCGCCGGAAAACAACTTGAAGACGGCCGGACTTTGGCGGATTACAACATCCAGAAGGAGTCGACACTTCACCTTGTGTTGAGGCTGAGGGGAGGGATGCAGATTTTCGTGAAGACATTGACAGGGAAGACGATTACTTTGGAGGTGGAGAGTTCTGACACGATTGACAATGTGAAGGCGAAGATTCAGGACAAGGAGGGGATCCCACCGGACCAGCAGCGGTTGATCTTCGCCGGAAAGCAGCTGGAGGATGGGCGGACTCTGGCGGATTATAATATCCAGAAAGAGTCGACTCTTCATCTTGTCCTTCGTCTTCGAGGTGGAAATTGAAGGTTTGGTTTGGTGATGTTATGAAGGTTCTTGTTGAATGAATTTGTGTATGTTTGAATGTTTGTGTTGATTGAAACTCTGGTTTGATGGTTTGAAGTGAATAATTGTTGAATAAAAAAACTTTGGTTTTCTGTGAAATTGATTAAGTCATGTTATTTTAATTTTTCATTTTCTTTGTGTTGTCAAATTCAATACAATTCTTATTTAATTATCGGATTATTGAATATCCAATTTTCATCAAGTAGGATATGTCCACTTATAATCCATTAATAACTATAATATTTTCAATTATCATCCGGTTATTGATTATAAATATAAATATAATTATTTGTCGGTTGTGGCATACAAATTGGATAACAATTAGATATTTATCGAATCAATCTAGTACGTAAATAGATATTAAAGATAAAACTAAAACCAATTTGATATTTTTCCTAATTAAAGGTTACTTCCCTATATAATTCATGAATTCCAAGTCATATTAATTTGCAATTTTGGTTTTTTACTTATAATTTTGTAAATTGACTCTAATAATTACTCTAGTTTATTTCTATTTTATCTTTTTACTTTGTACATATCCTTTTAATTTTTTTTCCAAAAAAATATTTGAAAAGACAAAAACTTGTTCATTTTGAAGATGTTACGAAACAGTAACAATAACAATAATCTAATTAATTCAAGATAATCTAATAAAAGGTAACATTAACTTAACAACCACATTAGTTTTTCTAATCTTATATATTTTATTTAGTTTTAGGAACAACAAAAAACAATAATCTAATTAATTAAAGATAATCTTATTATAGATAACATTAACTTAACAACCACATTAGTTTTCTAGCCATATATTTCTTCCATCCCAAAATTATTGTCCAAAAACAAATAACGAAACATTAATTACCTCTAACTTTATTAAATGAAATGTCAATTATACCATTTTGTTGGATTTACTTTCATCATTTTGTTGAATGTAATTCCATTGTAGGTTAATAATAATGAGGGTATTTTGGTAAAAACGATATTTGTTTTTAGAAGTACGTTATTATTTTGGGACAAACCAAAAATGAAACATAAACTACTAATATAGTACAGAGAAAATATTTTTTTTAGAATAGGTTACACACATCAACTATTTTACTAATAATTTTATTATTTTAGTGGTAACTTAAATCCTTAATCTTTGGTTAAAAAATATATATCTTTTTAATTTAAAATATCATTGATACCATTAGATCAAACACCTACGTGTTTTTAATTAATAATAACTTTATAATAATATTAATATTAGTTTTTCTAATTAATTTATAGAGTAAAAATAAAATAACAAATAAGTAACTAGCTCTAGCTTTAATTGGGAACGGTATTCACATATTTCTCCATTTCCTACTTTCTAAAAGACTAAAAACAAAAAGTGAAAAGCAAAAAACTAAGAAATAAATAGGGAAAATGACTTAGGAGGCTAATAAATAGGTATTCACATATTTTGTTTATATTTATTCATTTTTTTATAACATATATCATCCATTTTGTTCAACATATTCACATATTACCTTTGCGGCATGTTATATAAACAGTTTTAATAAATTGGATGATATATAATGTAAAAATAAATAAATAGATATGAACAAAAAATGGACTTCCCCACCACTTCCCACCACAATCGCTATCGTACCTCTACCACCTCTACTATCATCTTCACCTCCGCCAACGCCACCACATCCTCATTTCTTTAATACCAATTTGTATTTTATATTTTTCGTGACTCGTTTCTTTGCATTTGAGTTTTTTTTCTTTTGGTTTATTGGTTTGAAATGAACTAAAGTGGGTTCGAACCCGTCCATTCCATAATTATCATATCATCTCTTAAATAACTTTTAAGATAAAGGGTGTTTATGGACACGTAGACTTAGACCCGAAGGTGTATGCAGGAAGAATCTTTTCCTTTTTGTCTGTTACGTCATCTTTTCCCTTACTTTTCATTCCCTCAACAAAAGCCACGGTGTGTAAGGAAAGGATATTTCACTCTTTTTTAGATTTATAATTTAAAAAATTAATATAATTTTTTAAAAGTAATTTGTAAACATAAAAATTAATAAAATTAAGAACACTTCATTCAAATAAAAATTACATAAAAAGATACATTAAAATAAGCAAGACTAAAAAAAGAAAAAAAAAAAAAAAAAAAAAAACTAGAACAAATATTATAAAACACAACCTAGAAAACATAATTAATATCTGAATTTAAAAAACCAAAATACGTCACTCAGAATCGCCGTCCTCGTCATCGTCATCATCGTCATCGTCATTCTCATCATCGTCATTGGAATCTTCGCTCTCGACGAAGACATATGAATCCTCATTTGATTCGTCAAACAAATCATCGTGCCAACATGTTGTCGGCGGCTGAATGTGAGCCCTGTAAACGTGCTCCACCAAATCTGCACGAAGGGGGTGATGAATGTCGCGATCATATACTTCTCTTTTATTTGCCCTATACTCTTACGTACCAACGACTACTCCTTCGACATTTGGCAAAACTTCGTTTTCGTTGTATCAACATATCACTCTTTCTTCGTCTTCAAGAATCATCGTATGCAATATGATGCACGCATACATTGCGTGTTGCAACCTTTTCACTTCATATGACCGTGCCCCGACTGCTAGTACTTGCCAAAGCCTCTTAAGTACACCAAATGTTCACTCCACTTCCTTCCTAGCTGGCCATTGTACCTCTTTAAACTTTTTTCTTTTTTCGTCGTTCGAATATGTAAATGATTCACAAAAAAAAAAAGATAAGGTAGGATATATACCGTCAGTAAGATAGTACACACGCTTATATGCTACCCTGTTTGCTTGAAAAGGTACATCGTGCGACTTTCCAAGATAGATATTGTTGAATACCGACAATTGGTCCAAAACATTGATGTCGTTGTTTGCACCAGCTGGACAAAAGAATGCATACCATAACCAAAGATCATGTGATACGATTGCTTCTAGAATAATCGTCGGTTCTTTGTGGTCGTCTCGCATGTACTAACCACACCATGCATTGGGGCACACTGCTTAAGCCCAATGCATGCAATCGATACTACCTAGCATTCCGGGGAACTCATGCTTGCTTTCATGCACCGTGTACAATTGGTGGAAATCGTTGATAGTTGGTTTGCGCAAATATCATTGCCCGTAAAACAAAGTAATAGCTTTAAAGAACTTGTACACACATTCTGTACCATACGTTCGTTCGGACATCCTCAAATACTGGTCACATTTGGAAAACTTTTTTTAAGCGAATAAGCTTTAAACCAATTTAAAAATAAAAGATATGACTTTTAAAAAATGATTTTTTTATGATAACTATTTTTAAAAGTGCTTATTAACTCCTCAAACACATTTTAGATTTATTGGTTTAAAAAAATTAATAAATCAATTAACATTTTTCATAACTCAATGTCAAACACCCATCCATAGACTAAAATTGCCTCAAATAAGAAAAAACGATATGGGTCAAATCTTTAAATTGTAGATAGCAAACCATATACAATATTCTTGTGTTCCAAGAAAGGCCAAACAAAAAAAAAAAGAAAAACAAGAAACCAGGAGCCGAAGGAAAACAGAAGAAAAAGAACTTAATTACTTGATGCCAAAGGTTTAACCAAAACGTGGGTTCTTACTTACAATTAAAATTGCAAACTATTACAACTATATATCCTAATTGAAATAGAATCCTACTCGAACTCTAAAACAATAAAATAAAACTTAAATATGGAATTTTCCTAAAATGCATTTGCTTTAATATTCGATTAACCCAACAATCACCCACTTAATCGGATTTGTCATACGAGCCACTCGTTCAAAACAATGTTGATTCCTCTTCGATTAGACCCGCCTCTTCTTTTTCCAATTTAGGACACTTGTTGCTATAGTGACTAAGCTCACCACGTTTTTGACATTTAACGTGACTTTTATCCCGTTGGAAACGTTCACCATCTCGACTTTTCCCGGACCCCCGACCTCTTCCCCGGCCACGTCCAAAGCCATTCCGATTTGAACCTTCATTGCCACAATGCTTACAAACATGTGATTTTTCCTCACTAGCCAACAACAACCCACCTTGAGTGTCCTCCAGTTTCTCGGTTCCTCTTATACGCTCCTCGTACGCCTTTAATCTACCAACCGCTTCATCGAATAACATCGAATCCAACTCAAAACATTGCTCTATTGAAGTCACGATTTGAAGAAACGACTTAGGCATCGAATCTAGTAACCTTTTTACCAAATCACCTTCTTCAAGCTCATATCCAAGACTCCTTGCTTTTGAGGATAAACCTGATAATTTTGTCACAAAATCATCAACCGTTTCACCCTCCTTCATGCGCAAACTTTCAAGCTCTCTCTTTAACGTTGCAAGTCGAGCCGTTCTCACCCGATCCACTCCCAAATACCGTGTTCTCAACCCATTCCACACTTTCTTTGGTTCGGTGTAACTCGCCATTTGCAACACCATGTCTTCGGGTATCACTTGAAACAAAAAGGCAAGAGCTTGTTTTGACTTCTTTTGATCTGATGCTTCACCTAACGCCTTTGGTTCGATCGTCTCCCATATTCCGTGTGCATCCATAATCGACTTGACTTTGACCGCCCACACCGGATAATTCGTTGGAGTCAAAACCGAAACTTGATATGTCATCGGATCTTCTTTCATCGCCATTCTTCCTTTTTATAGCTTCAACCCTATTCCGATCAAACTTGTTCAAAGAGATCTATTCCACCGACCAAGAAAACAAGCAACCCACTCTACCGTCTTCTTGCACCTACAAAAAGAACTAAATCTAAAGCCACCTGCTTTGATGGATCTCTTCTGTTCGTTTATTCCGCACCTCCTCGGTTAGTCTCTTTCACCCGAACAAGCCTCCGATCAAAGGATGAAGCCTACATCCCCTTTACTCGAACCAACCCTCTTCAACCGTCGCTCTGATACCAAGTGTAGATAGCAAACCAGATACAATATTCTTGTGTTCCAAGAAAGGCCAAACAAAAAAAGAAAAACAAGAAACCAGGAGCCCAAGGAAAACAGAAGAACAAAAACTTAATTACTTGATGCCAAAGGTTTAACCAAAACGTGGGTTCTTACTTGCAATTAAAATTGCAAACTATTACAACTATATATATTAATTGAAATAGAATCCTACTCAAACTCTAAAACAATAAAATAAAACTTAAATATGGAACTTTCCTAAAATGCCCTTGCTTTAATATCCGATTAACCCAACATAAATTCTATAATTTTATTAATTTGGTCTTTTGATATGTCAAAATTATATAACACCAATTAATCTATTGCCTCTTTTTAAAACAATTGGCTTCATTTAAAATTTTAACTTGGTTTTTTGGAAAAATGGTAGAGCTTACAACTCCAAACGGAAATCGCGTAGAATGCGGTGGTTTACAGCCACCGGGAAATCAAAACAGTGGCCGATATAAAACAGGAGTCTCAACCATCCACCATTCCAAATTGCTTCTACATTACCCTCATTCAATCCATTCCTCCATCTCCATCGTCTCCGATCGCCGATTCTTTCTTCCGTTCCTGTCAGGTAATCCTTTCATCTAATTTTCATTCTTCTTCTTTTCTTCTTCTTTCCATGATATTCGTTGTTCTAAATCCGTTTTTGTTTGATTACTCTTCAATTTCTATGACGTTTTTATGAAATCAACCAAACGATGTTTATCTTCTACAATCACATCATGGAATCAGATGTTGATTATGAAAATCGCAAACGATTTTAATCATATTCCGTTGTTAAATAATGTTTGAGTTGGATCATCGGTTTCTTCGTTCAGATCTTCACATTTTCTTTAATTAGTTTTTATTAAACGATTTTTCGTTTTGCTGTAATTTCCGGATGTTTTCTTCCTAATCCGATTTTGGATGCGTTATCTTTCTTCATTATTACCGGAAATTAAGATGTAATTCCGCTAATGATTTGATTATCAATTAATCATGTAAACTGTTGTTGAAATTGATTACAAACGAACGAACACTGAAACTGAACACATCTGAATTTGAATTGGGTTTAAAGTTTTTTTTTACAGTAATTGTATTGTTTCAGTTGTGTTCTTCTGTTCAACACGAAGAAGGCTGTTTGCTTGCGTGGTTGTGGCCTCCAATTCTAGCACTCAAGTTTAATGTCTGAGCTCGACATCCAGATTCCAACTGCCTTTGGTATGTTTTTGATGATTATGAGTTGTTTGAAAATATATTGAAGCATTAATTAATGGTGAGATTTGTGATTGAAGATCCATTCGCTGAGGCAAATGCTGAGAACTCAGGTGCTGGGTCAAAGGAATACGTTCATATACGTATACAGCAACGCAATGGTAGGAAAAGCCTGACCACTGTTCAAGGCTTGAAGAAAGAATTCAGCTACAACAAGATACTTAAAGACCTTAAAAAGGAGTTTTGCTGCAATGGTACTGTTGTTCAAGACCCTGAACTTGGCAAGGTCTCTCTCTTTCTCTCTCTTCATTATCATGGAGCAAAGTCTCCACAATGAAAACATGTTTAATGATGTCAGATGTAACAAAGGTAATTATTTTTATAGGTTATCCAACTTCAAGGTGATCAAAGGAAGAACGTATCCACCTTTCTCGTTCAAGTAATCATATTTGTTATGACAACGACTTTACAAACATTTATTTAGAAATTTTTGTTACATGGATTTGTTTTAATTTATATGTGTATTTTGCCAGGCTGGCATTGTGAAGAAAGAACACATCAAAATTCATGGTTTTTAAATAGCGACGGCGGCGACATAACATTCTTCTGCTTGCAACTTGTGCTGTATCTAAGCGATATTAGCTCTTCGTGTTGCTTGTAATTTTTCATCATCTGCTCAAATCATCTTTTATTTATTTATTTATTTATAATAATAATAATAATAATAATAATAATAATAATAATAACCCAATGTTAGAAATTATAGATTGTAAAATCTTGAAAATAAATAGGTCGCGTGTAAGTATGGTTCACGAAAGGGCGATCTTTGTTTCTTGTTGTGATTATGTAACGGGGAATATTTATCTAATTCTAATGTACATGGAGTTTTTTACGTTTGTTCCCATGCCTTCTGTTTGTATGTTTTTTCATGAATTACATCATCTTATTTGTAAACTTCTGAAAAAATGGACTACGCCTTTGAACTCCATTTCAAAAGGTATGCATGAATTCGACATACCATATTAGTTTTCATGTGATTTCTTACTACAATTTTAAGTAGGAATTACTATTATTGTTGTCCGAAATGCAAAGAATGGTTCCGAAATCCTTAGAATTACTTTGAAACGATTTGTATTAGAAGGCTAAGGTTCATTTTTTCCCATATTTTCATTATTAGAATCTTCATTAGGCCTCATGACAATGATAGTGTAAATGTAAACAACCTTACGTAACACAGTAAACTTTATCTGGAATATTACATTTGTCTGGAATCCGAAGAACTGACCAGAATGAATAGTCATAGTGTTGTTTTGTTGATTGCTATTTCTTCAGCTGTATTATTATTTAATAAGTAAAAGTTATTTTCATACAATCAAATGTGTCGAATCATTCCCAAATCCAAAGCAATATTTCAAATTGATACGAAGGTGCACCCGACCAATTTGATTTTTTTTTTGCATAAAATGTGTGTTTTACTGATTAAGAGACAATGGTGCACCTCCATGATCATTATAAACTAGAGTCATTCGGAGGTAAGGACGGATTTTGATTGCATCTATCGTAATTGCATTTTATAATATTAAAAGAAGATATAAACATTCTTATTTTTATTTGAAGAGACAAACACCATATGTGAGACCCATCAAAAAACAAACGTGAAAGTAAGAAAGAAATCAAATAGAATGTTAAAACTTAAACTGAAATCATACAAAACTCCGAAAGATTGAAGCGTTTCAAGCGTTGAAAAGGCTATTATTTTAGACTAGTATAGTATGTTTTTTTGGAAGTTGACAATTCCATCGAACCGGTTGCCATTTGTAATGTTTCAATATTTTTTAACCATATCATTGTTTTAAAGAATTGTATGTTTTTTTTATCAAAGTCTTCAACATCCATTGTTTTGCCGCCTAAGAGCCGATTAGTTGGATTAAAACGGATGATATGAGCTGAGATATCTCAGTCCTATGAATATGTTCCTGTGGGCCGAACTGCGTTAAGCTCTTATTCCATGATTTTGTTATCGCCTTCAACAAGTGAGGAGGCCTGATTCAAATTAAAAAAGAACGTCTAGGAAGGTACCTTACGCGCCTTTGACAAAAGATTTTTTTTCCTCTTCTCTTAAGAATTTATCTGATAGGAACATGCTAAGCAAAAAGAAAATGGTTGTTTTTCTTCGGAATGGGACATGTTGACACAATCCCTTTTCCTTCTCCATATTATGCAATTTTTAGGTGTACTCATTTATTCCAAACATATTTCCATAAGTAGACAAAAGGTTGCTCGTTGGTAAAACACAAACCATATGCTATTGAGCTTGAGCGTTATTCAAGTTTTTTTTTGTTTAAGAAATGCTTCTTTAGAAAGGTGGAAGTTATAGAATATGGAGTGATACGCATTAGGTTAGACAATGTGTTCTTGTTGATAGAACTGTATTAGAATTGATTCATGATTATCACCGTATATAATACCAATTGTGAGAATTGGGGATCCCATTACTACATTTAGAAATTAAGGATCGTAGAAAGTTAATGCTTCATAATATGCAAATCCTCACGATTACAATGTCCAAAGATATACAAGAGTTTTTCAACTTAATGAAAAGACTCCAAGAAGAGCGTAGGATGAGTGCAACACTTGAGGAGCGAGTTGAAATGAACGTTATTGCAATAAACTTAATTGAAAGTTTCATGCAATTGTTTGAAGTTCACATAGACATTCCTCGGTTGCACCATATGAAATTCCCAAGTATACATGGGTATTACATATAAAGATAATGTAATTTGATTTTGAAAAGTAATATGTAGCTTGTTATGGTTTTCATGAAGGGCATTACTTTTCATTTTCATTAGTTAAAGCAAAACTCAAAACAATTCACATCTTTCTTTGTAAACTCGATTTGATATGTATAAAAGTTCACATCTTTCTTGATGCGGATAAAAGTTCGGGTTGGTTATTTGAAGATTATGACGGTAAAGAGAGAGGTTGGTAAAGATTTCTTAAGTGAACTCTATTTGATGAACTCGTTTTCAGATGAATATGCGATTAGCCTATTACTAATTATTGGTTGTAACGAAAGAAATAACATAAACAAAGCTTGTATTTGTGTATTTATGAAACTTTTGTGTCCAGAATGTACATTATCTAGTATGGAACAAGCATAAGGCATAAGTACTCTAGAATGATTATGTGTTGAACAAATTTGCTATTTTCCAAAGTGGGGAAAAAATTATTTTTGGTAATTACCTTATTCATAAATGCTAGTTTAATCAATAACAACAACCATGAAGATGGTCCGGTGGTGAATGGTGATCATAGGGTATGAACACAAGTCCCCCCCCCCCCCCCTCCGGTCTTGTGTTAGGGGTGGCAACCGTGTCGTGTTGAGTTGGCGAGTCATAAAAGCTCAACCCAGACAGAACTCATATAAATATTATTGTCAACTTGTTCAACCCTAATTTGGATTAGTAAACCCCAGTGTTGCAGAAATCGGCCTTGGCGGCCGATTAATCGGCGATTAATCGCTTAGCGGCCATAAACCAATTACGATTAGGGTGCTTGGCGGAAATTGGTCAAAATCGGTCAAAGTCGGCCTTGGCGGTCCTTGGCGGCCCTTGGCGGTCTCAGCGGTCATAGGCAGGAATTTTTTAAAAAATTCAAAAAATTTTAATTTTCAAATATTACACCAAAATTTTAAAATTTCAAAATTTTAAGCTTTCAAATTTTAAAATATTAAACTAAAATTTTCAAATTTTCAAAATTTTAAAATTTTAAATTTTTAAATTTTTAAATACTTAGTTTTTTAGGGAATATAAAATTTTTAAATAATTTTATTAATAATTAAGGGTCCCCGATTAATCTCCGATTAATCCCCGCATAATCCGATTAATCGCTTATCGCCAGTCGACCGCCGAGCGATTTTTACAACCTTGGTAAACCCACATAACCCGTTTACTTATACGAGTTCGCGGGTTCATGAGTCAGATTCGATTTCATGGGTCAGATTAAGGTTCATGAGTTAGAATCGTGTTCATGGGTCATGGGAAATAAAGTCTAAATATAATGTATTTACTTTTTAGTCTCTGCTCTCACATTTATTTAATATATATATATATATATATATATATATATATATATATATATATATATATATATATATATATATATATATATATATATATTAAGGAACGTCCTAAAGGGTGGGCGATACACGGGTCAACCCGCACAATTATTTGCAAATCCAAACACGACCCATTTAATAAATGGGCTCGTGTATTGCGGGTCAGCAAATCATAAAAACTCAACCAAAGCTCATTTATCTTTGTTTCATTTCGCGGGACGTATTAAGAATTGCCACCATACCTTGGGTGATACGTCATTCAATCTACTCTAATAAATAAAAATCTTTTTGCAAAATGTCACATTCTTATTCATCTTGCCATATGTAATTTTATGATTATTTTAAATTAATTTTATTCCACATTTCATTTTATGGTTTTTCTATTTTATTAAATTTCACATATTATTTAAATCTAATAATAAATGCATATCAATTTCATTAATGGTCTTTCCTTCTAATTTTAAAATTACTAAATTAAAGTTTCATTAATTTCTTTTATTTATTTATCTAAATTATTTGTTTAAATTTAAAAAAAAACACTTTAATTTTTGTAATTCAATATTTTTTCACTTTTATTATAAATTTAAACTTCTCAAATATTTTGAATTTTTAATTTAAATTTTCTTTTAAATAAATTCATGTAATACATGAGTCTCACACCTAGTAAACAAATAAATTATTAAAACATCTAAGATATGAGTTTTTTTTAAGTCAACAATACTGTATTTTCTAAGTATTTTATCCCATATAAAGTGTTTTTTAATATTGGAAAGAGTCGTTTTTTTTGCCAACTTTATCAACTACTTATTAAAGACTGTTTTTTGGGTTTTTTGTTTTGTGCACTTCACTCTTTATTCAATAAAATTCTATTTTACTCTTACTATTATATTTATATTTTTATATTTTATATTAACTAAGTTCATTTCCTATTAAATCTAATATCACATATTAAACTCGTAATGTTTATATAATATTCTTAACAATTTTTAAAATTTTAAAATTATAACATAATAATTTAGGTAACTTTTGAAAAAATCTTTATGATCAAGAAATATTATAGGATGATAGTTCTAGATAATATATGATTTTAAAAGGTCACACTAACAACAACTTGATGTTAATGTATTATTTATAAGAATTTGATCCTTGATAAATATTTCTATTTCTTATATTTAATTGGAAAAATTATTATTTTGTGGAAATAATATTTTACCAACATAAATGGAATTATTGTTTCTAAGAAATAATAATAAAATAGAACATTAACTAGTTAGATTCATAATGTATGAATATATATGTTATCTATATTTATTTGGGTACTTTGAGTAACCATCTACTTACATGTAACTAGTTATTTGGAAGCTCGAGTGAAAAACACTCTTGATCCTTAACTTCTTGTACAAAGGTGTAGACCTCTTTAAGATGTTAAGGCTTCTTTGTGTTTTGCTTCTTACATCACATACTTGTCATAAAAGGGACATGTGTTAGACTTGTTTGAGGGATGGTGCTTTAGTACATGTGTGGTAGTATATAAAGAGGAGATATGATAATAATAATAATAATAATTAAAAAAAAAAAAAGCTAATTTGTTTTTCCTTACACTTCTCCCTTTTTCTCTCTAAAAGTCATGGGTTTCCAAGACTTCTCCCCTCTCCTCTCTTGTAATGTGTTGTGTAGAGTTTGAGTACTTATTAGTTGCTTTTCCTTAAGACTTATTTGGTATATGTCTTTAAGGTTTAAGAACAACTAAAATATACAAGGACTAGCATCCAAATCAAGTATAAGAATTGTTGATGTTTCTAATTAAGGTGGAGTTCTACATTTTACATTCTTCATTAACTTCCAACCTCCCAAGATGATCAAAATTTTCATAGGTTGTAGCCTTTTCTTCCTATGATTATTTTAATCTTTTCATGTTTTCAAAATTATCTTCTGTGGACTAAAATGGTTTTAAGTTTATTCACAATTTTAAAATTTCCAGTGCCATTTTTAGTGTTTTTAGAAACCGATTTTTAAATAAAACTCAACAACTTTTATATATATTTAAAAAAAAATAAAAGAATCATATATTTTTATTTCTAGTATTATAACTTATTTATTACATTAAATGTTAGTGTCAATCAATATTTCTTTTTAAAAACATAACATGTGTGTACAAAATGACAAATTGGACGATGAGGCTTTATAAAATAATTCACTAAGATGAGAATGATGTAGTTAATTTAAGAAGAAAAAAAACCTTTTGAAAAATGGTCAATGGAGAAAGTTTATGATAATTTTTTGTTAAATAAAGTTAGTTGAAACATAATATAACAAAAACAAAATGAAAACTAAAAGACAAAAAAAAGTGTCAATGACTAAATAATACAAGAAAAATTAAAAGAACCAAGAAGAATGATCAAATAGCAATAGTGTTAAGCTGTTAAGTAATATGTAAGCCAACATTACAATCGTTACATGAAAGATCATAAAAGGATATAACTGATAAAGTTAGCTAAAACAAAAATCAACCATCATACAAAAACAAAACAACAAGTTTATTATTTATTTTATTACACATTGCTTTGCTTGTAGTTCTTGGTGTCCAAAACTTGTTTTCCACACATTGCACAAACACCTACACCCAAAAATCATTACATCACATGTCATTCACCAATCTAACACCCCATTTGTTATTCATGACATGACCTGATGACCTAACACAGTCACATAGTCAATATTGTACTGTATTTGATATGCATTGTACCGTGACCTTATGGACTAGCATTAGAATTTTTTTATCCCACCCAAAAAAGATATGACAAGGAGGGACAAGGACGCGCTATAAATATTTCGTATGTGTAAAAGACGTTAATGCCCTTGGTTTTGAAAATAATTCTAGAAAGTTTTTTTGGGGGTAGTGTACCTTTAGAGTAGGCGCATGTATGGCAATACTTGCCATTTTGGTGGACTTGTTGCTTGCAGATGATGCACTTGGTTGTTCCTAATGGTGACCATCTACAAAAAAAATAAACAAATAAAATAAAATAATTAGTGTTTTCACATATGTATAATCACATTTTACAAAATATATATCTATATTCTATAATGAAAGCATAATGCCATAATCATCAATGTAGCAATTAGCATGCTTCAAATAAACAAATTCTTAGCTAGAGAAATAACCAAATTGAAGGTTTTCAATACTCCCATGGATAATAATTAACACATACCTAAAACCTATACATTCTACCTGATTCTTTATCTATGTTGTTGAAAATTGAAATAGAATTTGGTGTTCTGAATGGAAACCATAAGGTTTTTGGTTTTTAACTTTGACTAACATCGATCTTAATCACAGAATAAGAGGTTCTGAATGAATCGGTAGGTTTTCTGAAGTCATGAGAATATAATTAAAAAATAAAATAAAAAAAAGAACAAGAAACGAAGGAAAAAGTTACCTGTTTTTCTTGGAGAGAAGCTTGTTTTCGTTGATCTTACGACCACCGCCTTCGGTGGTGTTGCTTGCTCCTTCTTTCCACTTATCTGGCACAATTACTTTCGACAATTTCTTCTCACCTGTTTCAATTTCGTCCCCAAATATTAAAACCCTAGAAAATTCTTAAACACGAAATTGAATTTTACATAACAAGCTATATGAGATTATTAGGAAAACGCTTAGATTTATTGGGGAAATCAAAGTAAGACACCAAGAATCAAAAGAGAGAGGACTTACACTTCTCGCAAACCATCGTAGCTGTGAGATTTCCAGAGAGTAAAAAAAAAGGAAGAGGAGACCGAGAGAGGATGAACAAAAATTCACGTTGCTTAACCCCGTTGGGAAGAATTATTCCGAACGGACTAAAATGCCCTTTCTCTATATACGTTTTATATTTATATAAAAAAAATTAATTCAAAAGACTAATAATTAATACTTCTTTTAATTAATTTTTACAAACTATATTCAGAACGGACTAAAATGCCCTTTCTCTATATACGTTTTATATTTATATAAAAAAAATTAATTCAAAAGACTAATAATTAAAACTTCTTTTAATTAATTTTTACAAACTATATTCAAAACGTTAAATTGCTTAATATTTTTCATAGATTGAATTGCAAGTGACCCATGTATTTTGGGATAGCCTGTGAATTTGGTTTTCATTTTTTTTTTTTAAACTTGGGTTTGGGATTAAAACTTCTTTTAATTAATTTTTATAAACTATATTCAAAACGTTCAATTGCTTAATATTTTTCATAGATTGAATTGCAAGTGACCCATGTATTTTGGGATAGCCTGTGAATTTGGTTTTCATTTTTTTTTTCTAAAACTTGGGTTTGGGATTAAAACTTCTTTTAATTAATTTTTACAAACTATATTCAAAACGTTCAATTGCTTAATATTTTTCATAGATTGAATTGCAAGTGACCCATGTATTTTGGGATAGCCTGTGAATTTGGTTTTCATTTTTTTTTTTTTCTAAAACTTGGGTTTGGGAGGAGAATAATAGTGCACAGAACTGGATTGGAATGGACAGTACAGAATAAAAAACTATTGTATATGTAGCGTTGGGTATAATTATGATAGAACAGAACAAAATATTAAAATTACCATATTGTCACTTAAAATGAAATACTACAAAATAATAAGATAACTATTTTTTTAACATAAATTGTTAAACTATAGTCCTTATTTTGATATGTTGGTTTGCAAATTCAACTTGATTGTTTCAAAAAAACATAAAGAAAATCGATGAAACCTGTATTCCAACAAAAAAAATATAGTATATTAAAAGTAAAATACAAATCGTAAACAATGAGCTGTAACAAAATACATATGGAGTGTGTTGTCAAAAATATCAAACATGAGCACCAAAAGCAAAACACATTTTGTGTGCGTTCTTTTGTGTTCGGCCCAAAAAACACCGACAAAAACAAGTCTTTTCTTTTTTATTTCTTGACACCAAGAAGTAGACCTTTGTGTGTGTACTTTTTGTGAAGGAAAAAATGGAAACTTTTAATGATAAGGATGTAAAACATGAACCATATGATGTGGTTGCTCTTGTGTAATCAAGATATGGGTGCTAACAATGATGAAGATAATAGGAACATTATGGAGGTGTTTGATTTTGGCAAATTTATGCTTTTGGGGAAATAATATCATGGAAATTGATTTTGGTTATAAAGTGGACACTAATTCAAGTGATAAAGAAATTAGTGATAATACTCGATGGATAAACAAAATAAATATAAGAATGTTGGTTGGAACATCGGTGTAAATGTAAATATGCTAACATTTAAAGGGTTTGTAGTATCACTCATCTTTGCTTTGCTGATTTTTTTATTCTTTTTTGCCATTATGATAGTGATTTTGTTCATACATTCATGACTCTCTTATCGAGTTTGCTAAAATTTCGGGGCTTTGCCCTAATCAGGCTAAAAGCAAGGCTTTTTATTATAGAGTTGGTGAAAAAACTAAGGTTGCGTTTAGTTACGGAAAAACGGTTTTCATTTTCTGTTTTTCGTTTCCCTTTTTAGTTTTCGTTTTCCGTTTTCCGTTTTCGGTTTTCATTGGAAAATTTAGAAAACGCGTTTAGTTAAAACTTATTCATTTTTCATTTTCAGTTTTAGAAAATTAGAAAACGTGTTTAGATATGTATTTTTCTATCGGTTTTCATTTTTAGAAAACGGTAGTGGTGGTAGGGTGGGCGTAGGGACGGTGGCGGTGGTGGAGGCAGCGGCGGGGGGCAGTGGTGGTGTCGATGATGGCGACGGTGGTGGTGGTGGTGGCGGTGGCGGCGGTGGTGGTGATGACAGGCGGTGGTGGTGGCGGCGACAATTGTGGTAGTGGTGGTGATGGCGGTGGTGGTGGTGGTGGTGATGGGGTAGTGGTGGTGGTGATGGTGATGGTAGGTCGGTGATTGTGGTAATGGTGTTGGGTGGGTGTGGGGGGTAGGGGTGGGAGTGAGTTTGTAGGGGTGTGTGTGTGTGTTTGTGGGGGTTGGTATGTGTGTGTGTTTGTGGGGGTGTGGGTGGGGTAGGTGTGTGTTTGTGGGGGTAGGTGTGGGTGTGGGTATGTGTGTTTGTGAGGGTTGGTGTGTGTATGTGTGTGTGTGTGTGTTTGTGGGTGTGTGTGTTTGTGGGGGTGTGGGTGTGGGTGTGTGTATGTATGCGTTTGTGGGGGTTGGTGTGTGTGTGGGTGTGTGTGTGTGTGTGTGTGTTTGTGGGGGTTGGTGTGTGTGTGTGTGTTTGTGGGGGCTGGTGTGTGTGTGTTTGTGGGGGTGGGCTTGGGAGTGAGTGTAGGTAGGTAGGGGTGTGGTGGGTTGGGGTTGTTAAGGTGAGGGTAGGTAGAGGTGGATGGGGTGGGAGTGGGTGTTTATATTTTAGAAAAATTTTGGAATTAGAAAATTGTGGAAAACAATGATTATCGGTTTTCCAAAAATTTCCAACTTCTTTTTAATTTTAGAAAATGGAAAATTTTCATTTTCCGTGAAAAATTTAGAAAAATAGACGAACTAAACGCGTTTTCAAAATTCTCATTTTTCTTGGAAAAATTTTCCGGAAAACGGTTCATTTTTCCGCAACTAAACGCACCCTAAAAATGTTATTAACCAAATTATTTTTTCCCTGAAGGATCCCTCCATGTCAGATACCTTGGTGTCCCTCTTATCACCACCTGTTTCATAGGGATTGCAAGTGCCTTGTGGACAAGGTTAAAACTAGACTCGAGGACTGAAAAACAAATATTTATCCGTTGTTGAAAGTCTCCAACTTATTCTATGTGTCCCCTCCTATATGCAAATCTATTGGGCATTTATATTTATTCTCTTGAAGTCCACCACTATGGAGATAGAGAAGCTCATAGGAGGCTTCCTTTGGTGTCATGGTGAGTTAGAAAGAGGCAAAGCCAAAGTTTCTTGGAGAACTATATGCCTCCCAAAGACTCAAGGTGACCTTAGAATAAAAAGTATGACCACTTGGAATATTGCTCTTATAGCCTCTCACACATTTAGGCTCCTTACCAACAAGGAATCCTTTTGAGTTAAAGGGATCCACTCTTATAAGCTCATAGGCCAAAACTTATGGGATGTACCGACTAAAAGAGGCATTAGAGCGGGCTGGCATTACATCCTTGGTATGCATGAAAAGATTAGAGACTTCATTGTCTCTCAAATTGGTTGTGGAAACACCACCTCCGTGTGGTATGACAATTGGCATCCTGTTGGACCCTTTGCTTGATTTCTTTCCCCCGTGTTGTTCACGGTTCATCGAGCGGGGTTTCCCCTTGATGCTACTATGAAAGATATTGTCTATGTCGGTAATTGGGTTTGGCCTCATACTTGGTGTGATTCCATTGGTTCTCTTAACAACCATCCCGCATTCTATTTCCTAGTCTGCCCCCGATAAACTCTTCTGGCGTAATAAAGCAAGTCTTCTTACTCCTTTTCGTAGTCATGAAGTTTGGCTTATCCTTCACCCTAATTAGTTAGGGGTTGATTAGCACCACCTTTGTGTGGTTCTCTCAAAACATCCCCGCTTATGCCTTCATCTTATGGGTGACCCTAAAAGATCGTCTTAAAACTCATGATAGAATACATATCGGGGAGTCCAACCAGAACCTGATTTGTAGCTTATGTCATCTTTTCCCTGACTCTTTCAACGACCTTTTCTTTAAGTGTTTATACCCATCTCAGATCTAGAATTAGATGACAAACTTGATAAATCTCAACAATGTTTCCAACAAAGTGGATCGACATCATCTCCCTCCTCGAGTAGGCCTCAAAAGGTAAATACCATTTGGTATATTATCCATCATTTAGTTCTTGCAGGTACCGTCTACCATCTTGGGATTAAAAGAAACAATATGATCCTCAAGAATAAGAGAAGACCCTATGAAACTATGGCCAAGACTATTACTGATGATGTTCGTTCAAGACTTATGAGTCTTACTTTCAAGCCCTCCCCAAATATTGCTAAAGCCAAGATCCTTAGGAGGCTCCCTATGCATAATGAATATATCACTACCAAGCACCCGCCTTGACTCCATGTCCAAAGGTTTGTTTCTTATATTCGTCTTTGTGGCTGGTTATGCTTTATGTTGGTATTTTTCTCTTAATTTAGTATTAGGGTTTAGAGAACGTTCTATTCCCCTTTAAGTTTGTTATTTAGTTAGTTAGGTTGTTATGGCTCTTGGGGCCTCTCGAAGGGGCCATTTTTCTTTCCATAGGTAGACATTTCTCAGTCTGTTATTGTATTTTTTGTTTATTAATAAAATTTTAATGCAGGTGCCACTCTCTTTTACCAAAAATAAAAGGTTTGTACTATTGTGATCTAAACTAGGTAAATCATGACATGAATATAAACTTAATTTAAATACAATGCATTATGTTTAAAGGTATATTGGACACGTTAGAGTATATTATGTAATTATTCATCATCAAAAATAAAAGTTCATAGAAGCCAATATGCGAAAAAATGAACAAAGTCACTGATCAATGTTGAGGCTTATGTATAAATTACCCACATATAATTTCCGATAATTGAGACATATTCCTTATTGAAAGAGAGTGGTTACAAGTGTTCTTGATAGAAAGCATAAAGGCTAAAAACAAAAAAAGAGGAGAATAAATACTAGCTAAGAGAAAACCGTAATGAGCTAAAGGCTAATGAGCCTATCAACATATTGGCTAACAACATATAGGCTAACATCCCCCCTCAAACTCACAATGCCACAACAATAAGCATTAAGAGTTTTTCACACAAAAAACGAAACCGAGATGTCGATAGAGCCTTCGTAAAGATATTCGTAAGCTTCAAGGTTGATGAAACAAACAGAAGGGATATGGTTCTGAGCTGTAAGTGATGATGGGTGAAGTGACAATAAATCTCAATGTGCTTCGTCCGCTCATGGAAAATAGAATTCTTCGCAATTTGTATCACAATTTTTGTTGTCACAATGCATGGGAGTAGGTGAAGAAACGTGAACCCCCATATCCGAAAGAAGCCACTATAACCAGATAATCTCACATGTAGTCACAACCATAGCACGATACTCGGCCTCCGTGGAAGATATAGAGACAACATCCAATTTCATGCTCTTCCATGAAATGAGAGACTCTCTAAAAAACACACAAAATCCGATGGTGGATTTACGATCATGACCATCACCATCCCAATCAACATCACTATAGGCACGTAAATCAAGAGAAGACGCTGAGGGAAACAAGAGAGTCTGAAACTGAGTGGCATGAAGATATCTTCGTATACAGAGAACAACTCCCTAATGAACAGAGGTAAGAGTAGTAACAAAATGACTGACAACATAAACAACATGAGTAATATTCGAACAACTGTGAGATAAACCAAACTTCCCACAACAGTTCGATAAAGATTTGGATCGGACAAAGGAACACCATCAGTAGGAGAGTACCATGCGTTGGTTTCAAGAGGAGTATCTACAATCCGATTTTCAGATATGCCTGCCCGTGTAAGCAAGTCAGATATATATTTAGTCTGAGAAAGAAGATACCCTTTCTTAGACTTAGCTACATCAATACCCAAGAAATAATGCAACAAGCCCAAATCTATAACGTCCCCAAAAAATAAAACCAAAAATTTCGTTTTAATAATAATAAAACCATCAACCAAACATGTTTATAAATCCATAAAGGAAAATCGAAGTATTTCAATCAATCATCCCAATTACATCAGAATCAAATAAGGCGAAAATCATAGTGTGTGCAATGTGATCATCCCGAGCTCTTCCTTTTTGATCCGGAAGTACCTGAAACATAAACTTAAAACTATAAGCACGAAGCTTAGTGATTTCCCCAAAATACCTCATACCATACATATCAAAGATACAATGGGCCATGCCCGACAGCCATCGGGCCCCGCCCAACATCGAGCCCCGCTCGGAACAGATCTGTCTGAATCATGTGATGGGCCCCACCCAACACGCCCATCAGGCCCCACCACTACTAGAATATAGGCCTTTAATGACATGCGAACCATGACACGCAGTTATTTATGATACGCAAATGTGTGTGTCCAAAAAATAATGTCGTCTCTCCCAAAATTTAAAGGATTTAGGACACGCATTTTTGCTTGCCCTAAAATTAGTGTCTAAACAAAATATAAACACAGAGGGCACCTATAATAAAATGTGTTTCGTCTAAGGATGCCGTTTTATAAATCTTAATAGAATACGCGTTCCATCCTTTAATAGCTGGGGGGAAAATGAAATCCTAAAAAATCAAAAACCACGCCTTCCTTTTTTCTCCTCCACTTTAGTTTCCCTTTTGCCCTAACTATCGACGCTCCTTCCTTCCCCCTCCCGACATTGACTGCCGCCTACTTCTTCCCTCGCACTTCAACCATCGTTATTTGCCCTTCCCGGTCGTCGACGTCGATCAAGGCAACAGTAGGCACACCATCTCCGAAGTTATGTATACCACTGGCTTTTAATTTCACGTATTCGGTAGCTTCTCTTTATGGGTATCTCTAATCTACTCAATTTATCTGTTTCCCACCGCATCGATTCCTTATTTTCCTCTTTCATTCTCTCTACAAAAAACCCTAATCTATGAACCAAGGTAAATCAATAAGCAGTTTCTGAACTTCTTAACTCTAGACGATATATATAATTTGGTCCAATTAGGGTTTAACGAGATTCGTAACATTAGTTAAAAGGTCGATACGTTGATGAACAATGGTCAGAACTCATCAATTTGTCGAGATGCTTCAGTAGAAGTGAACTCATAATTAATGAAACCCTACAGGTACGTATTTGCAAGACCTTCTGGAAAACGATGTTTTGTTGTTTCATCAAATAGAACAACTATCAGCAGATTACGCAATGGCTCTCTCTTTCACCGATTTCCATCTTCTCTACCTAATGGTGCCAGAACCATAGAAGGTTCTCGATCTGCTCAATCATATTGCATTCTTGACTGCATATTTCATGAGGTATTAATCATCACTTACATATGGAGTTACAGTTTCTTATTTTAGTTTAGTATTCTGAAATTTTGATGATGAACTTTTGTATATTCTATGATCACAGCTGGATCAAACCTACTATGTAATCGACATGGTATGCTGGGAAATAATCTCATTTTAAGAATGCACAGCTGAATTCAGATTTTTTTGGATGAGCAGCAAGCTTGTTGAGTCAGGAGCTTGTGAGGATCCATCTACTTACCATAGATATAGATTTAGCCTCATTCCTGTTTATAATTGTGATCATGTAGGCCTCCAAACATATTATACAGGGCAATTCACTCAACCCCAATCGTCTGGTATTCCAAACAGCTCATACATTTTCTACACTTGTTATATGGGACAACTATTTTAGGTCTAATGAAGAGGTACAAACGAAACGAGAGATGTGTAACATTGTTCCACTTTTTTGTTTGCAGGTTTGACAAAAGAATTATAGATTTCACAGAAGAAAAGTTCCATAAAGATGGTATAGATTTGAGAACAGGATCAGTGGTGGTGAAGGTCATGGATAAAGAAATTTCAACAAAAGAAATCAAAACCGGAAAAATCTCTACCATACCTTACGGGATGGCTGTCTGGTCAACAGGCATTGCAACTCGCCCTGTTTTCATGGACTTCATGAAGCACATTGGTTAGGTTTGTATTTTCTCTTCTTTAAATCAACAGGACATGACAAAACCATTGAAGGAAACAACAACATATATGATCTGAAGGAAACAACAACATATATGATCTTGGCGATTGTGCCACAATCAACCAACGCAAAGTCATGGTACATCGATCTATACCTTTTTTTATAAAACAAAATAAAATAAATTCAATATGATCGAATGACACTTGTGGTAATTTTTAACTAGGAACCGTTTGATTTTGCAGGAGGATATTTCGTCTATATTTAAAAAGGCTAACAAGGACAAATCTGGAACCCTTACAGTTAAAGCATTTCAAGAAGCCCTTGATGACAGCTGTGACAGGTATTGTTGCACGCTTCATTCATTATTCATTCACACACAAATTTTTAATTTATATAAAATCTTGTTTTTTTTCCCAATTAAGTCGTCTATGGATGTAGTGGCTTAATGGGTAATGATGTCTTTTCTGGTTAAAGTGTTGCATACATAATATTTGTTTCTTTTTTTTAATGAGCTTAATTACCCATGTGAATGAGACCACATGACCATTTACCCTTACGTTCCAAAAAACAAGTTTTGCAATGTTCATCGGTTTTAATGTGAGAGGAGATAGGAGAAAAGTTACTTGTTTGTATCATACTATTATGCACCTTCAAAGAATTACCACTCATATTTAAATTAAGCTAAAAATTGTTTTACTAAAAATAAAAATCTATCTTGTATAATCGACACTATTTCAGTAATCTTGTATTCTTTTGATGATTAAAAGAACCAAGATCAACCCTCTTTTGCGTTGTTGTTTTGTTAATTGGTATGTGGTATTAAAATGTAAAGAACCAAGATCATCCCTCTTTTGCCTAGAATCAGTATGAATGTGCTTTTTCTGGAATTAAGGGTACTCTTTTGTTTACATTTATATTTTAGGTTAATTGTTCTGAAATATTATTTGGTTATCGGTTTATTAGGATGTGTTGTTATTACCTTCTTGCTAACGTTCTCATTTCTCTGTTTACATGTTTGTAGGTCTGGTGGCCTTGCTAACACTGTTACCCACTTGGATCATTTTGAAACTGAGGTTCTACCATTCAATATTTCCTTGTTCTCCTTTAACCTTTTTTTTCTTTGTATCTCTAAACATATAGTTGGAAAAGAACTAACTTTAACAAGGAAAGAAATTAATTGTTGAATTTTTTGATTGATTAAGTGTCTTGATTGAATTGCATGGGTAGTAGGGAGGATAATTAGGAGGAATTGATGGCAAATCAAGCATTTAAAGGGATCCAACCGGTTGTACATGTTTTGTTTTTTATAATAAATATTATGCAATATTAGCAATGTATTACATCTACTTACTATTGGAATGATTATTTGTATTTGACATATTAGTGCAATGAATTATCTATCTTATGTTTATTATTTTATTTTGTATTATGAGATTTCTAATGTCTTATTTAATTTGAAAATTACTAAATCTATCAAAATATATAATTTTTAAAACATTTAAAATTATGACACGTAAAAATATGTGTCGTCTTTCTTTATGACAGGGGCTTTAATGATACGCAATGCAAGTCGTAAATGTGCGTCGTAAGGTTACGACACGCAAATGTGTGTCATCTTCTTTATGACAGGGCCTTCCTTGACACACATTGCGTGTCGTAACAGCACATCGTAAATACGTATCGTAAATAGACGACGCGCATTTGCGTGTCGTCTTTCGTTATGACAGGGCCTTCCTTGACACGAATTTGCATGTCGTCTGAGAATTTTATGACACGCATTACGTGTTGTAAAATGGTGTTTTTGTAGTAGTGCACCTGGCATCGAGCCCCACCCCGCATACATACAATACATACACACATGCAATGTCACACAGACAACTAGCATACAGATAGCCATAATCCATGGGTCGGCATTGGTGCCTTCAGCCCGCTAAACACTGGGAGGAGACTCACCTCAAACTGCTGAAAAATCAGATAAATGCTCAGGCTTCTAATCTGGGAAGTCTCCGTACTAAATACGATCAAATAACATCATAATTAATAATTAGGGAATAAACCATATCCAAGAGTCTATGTCTTTAATCCCGAATCCTAGGGTAAAATACTATTTTACCCTCACTGGGCCTAAGTATGAAAGTCCAAAACCCCAAAGCGGCGCAACTAGCCCAACAATCCCAAAAGTAACCCAAAATTAAAGGAGGCGCACAACATGACGTACGCCCTGCATACACTCATTGACTAGAAAGCAGGCTGCTGACCCAGTACACACGACATACTAAGGAGTATGTCCGGTGTACTGGCGAGAGTCTCAAAAACTAATCTAGGGTCTTAACCCCTTAAGACCTTAACGTCCAAACCTTAGATCTACTACTAATTGAGGTCTTAAACCATAAAGTCGACAACTTTATTAACTTGCATGGATAAAAATGACGCAATACCAAACCCTAGGTCCAAAACTTCACACAAAAGCCAACAACTCAAATATGAATGAACTTTCACTTCCAAGATTCGATTTTTATGACTCCATAATCTCCTACATGCCCAAAAGGACAACTCAAATGGTTTGGAGCAGTCCATACTCTATAAGACCATGGTTTTGGGACAAAAGTGCATAAACATGAACAATATGAAATCTAGAACATAGAACTCCAAGGTGTGAGCTTGATACCTTCTAAGGATGCACAAGAAGCTGTAGAATTTGGATCCAAAGCTTGAATGCACCACTTATTCTTCAAGGAACTTTCTTCTTCACCAAGAACCACCCAAAATTGCTACAAAATCACTTTAAAGCTCAAGAATACTCAAAAGAGGGCTAGGGTTTTATGTGTTATCTTCTAGGGCAAAGAGGTTGATGAAGGGGCAGCCTCAAGCTCCATAATGATGCTTAATTAGGGTACAAACCCTAAAAATTAGGGTTTTTCCACTGGACAGCGTACGTCCTTTTTCCCAAAAGTTTCACTTTCACCCCCTTGGGACCAAATTTGCAAATTAATTTAATAATAAGGGTCTAAATAATAAATACCTTGGAACCGAGTGTTACAAAATCCTTCAAAGAAAATCGATGACCTAAATCATGCTTCAAAGACTCAATACCACCATGGTCATCACCAGTCATAATAATGTCATCCACATATAAGGATAAAAGAATTCGTCCTGCACTCGAGCATCTAACAAACAAAGTTGAATCATGATTACTCTGAACAAATCCAAGATAGGTAATCACTGTGGAGAATTTCTCAAACCAAGCAATAGGAGCTTGCTTGAGACCATACAAAGCTTTGCGAACCCGACAAACCTCACCCGGCTGGTGCTGAATTCCTAGGGGAGGAGACATATAAACCTCTTTAGGGAGGTCATCATTGAAAAAACATTATTGACATCCATTTTAAAGATCTTCCACTGTAGAACAGATGCAATCGCAGTCATAGTACATATTGTCGTCATCTTTGCCACTGGGGCAAAGGTCTCCTCATAGTCAAAACCGTACTATTAGGGATACCCTTTTGTTACAAGTCTGGCCTTGTACTGCTTAACAGACCCATCAAATTTTGTTTTTATCTTGCACACCCAACGAAAACCAATCGTATGTTTCCCAGGAGGAAGAGAAACCAAATCCCATGTATGAGTCTGATAAAGAGCAGTGAATTCCTCAGCCATAACATTCTGCCATAGAGGTTCTAATACCACTTCTCTATATGATTCAGGTTCAAAACAGTTGGTGGATGCTCGCTATAAATGAAGCAAATGATCTTGAGTATGTAGAGTAGGAAAAATTTGGAAGCTTGGTGGACTTGATAGGACGAGTAGACCTCCTGAGGGGTGGTGGAGGTGGGTCTCTAATCTCATCAGTCGAAGGCGCAAACTCAGGAATAAGAGAAGTTGAGGAACTCTTTGAAGAAGGGGAGTGTGTCCTGAACTGGAGGATCAAGAATCATCGATGAATCTTGAGCCTCTATATCCTCATAAAAAGGATCAATATGCGGAAGATCTGATTTAGTTACATCGTGGGATGTAGCAGGAATCGAGTATAAAGGAATATGTTCCAAAAAGATGACATTCCAGGAAACATATAACTTTTGACTCACAGGATCATAGCAACGATATCCTTTTTGTCCAACATCATACCCCAAGAATACACAAATAGCAGATTTTGGTCCCAACTATTGGATTAGATGTCTAAGCCCATAACTATTATTGGTATGTACTCGACCCGAGAGTAGCATGGTCCATTTGGGTTGCATAACACCAGGGCAATTTGTTAGGATGGACTCTTGAGAGAAGGTTATATATGATTTATTAATATATTATAAGTTCTAATATATTAATATGAAATCATATGTTTTAATTAGTATTGATCAAGAATTAATTTGGAATTAATTTAGTGATCAAAAGAGACTAATTAAATCTATGGGGACTAATTATGATAATTAGTTATATTTATATGTGTTGGGCTTATGATCCATGTTGGACCAAGTTTATGTATGGACACATAAAGAGTTGGGCCACATGAACCATGGATCATAATACCCATGGGTATGGATTTGGGTTATACCCATAACCCTTGGAATCCAACATATAAATATGTACTCCTTAGCCAAAATAACGCCTACACACATATTCTTGGAGTTCATGAGGTGTTTTGGTGCATGGAGATTCTCTCTCAAGAGCCACCTTTGTCCTAGGTGAGTTGTGAGCCATTTGAGGCATTCATACTTTTGGTGCTAAGCTCTTAAGGCCAAATACAACAAGGTTTCAAGCTACATAAAAGGTATGTCATCCTAACTAGTATTTCATATTGTTTATTTCAATTGCATGCTAGTTATAGGCTTAATGCTTTGGAAACACCATTACATGTATAATTAGAGAAAACATAGATCCAAGGCATTTAGGGTTGTATGTGCACCATAGGATGTTGTAGTATACAAAACCCAACAGTAGTATCAGACACATGGGTTGTTTTCTATTATATTTGATGTAATTATTGGTTTTCGGAGCAAAAAAA